TATCTTTCATTCAAAAATACAATACTTTTCAATTATAACTATCATTACGCATAACGGTGAAAACATTCCACGCACTTCCTTATCTATGCATCACGCAAAGGACACGTTTACATTGCAGCATCACAGGTATCAGACATTCCTAAAATCATCTTACCTGGAGTGAAATGGCAACGCGATATGGTAGTTCTGTCTGTCCGTGTGTCACCGTGACGTCACACTGGACCAGGTGTGCTACCACGAGGGACGGGAGTGAAGCTGCCTCGTTAGGGTACACGTGTAGGCTTCCACCACGTAACTCCACCCAAACTCTGTCAGGAAAATTCGGAAATGAGTATTGGAATGGAAATGAAGAGAGGATATGATTTTTTTTTCTCTCTGTAAAGCTTTCTTATCTATGTTGGATTTTTTGTTTTATTTACGGTGTCATGTTATGGTATTATTGGTGTATGGTGGGGGGGGGTATATGGTTAGATTTTTGGTGATATTAAAGAAATTGGAAATAAGACAAAAACAATTAACAATCTTAAAATGGCATGCGTCACTGAATAAAAACAATAACTAAAGAAAAGCAAATATGTAAATAATGACTCGAAATAAAGCATTTATCGTGCTACTTCCGACTACATCTAAATGCACATAAATCCAGTGCAGAAAATGATTAAATATATGATAGCCATTACGGGACATTCAGTCCATTATAATAGAATTCGATGTTGTAATTAAAGTTGGAGAAATCGAGCTCTGAGTCATGACATCGAGAGAGAGAAAGAGAAATTCATTATCCCATTCTTGTGAAAATATACAAGGTGACTTCCATCTCTGATTACGAAAAGAGCGCATTAATATTCTAGTTGGACCGAATGTTAAAAACAAAAGTAAATGAACAAAACGTATATTCATTTGCATAGCCAGGTCCCATGACACGTACTTTAACACCTTTCCCTTTTCAGTCTACCCATTCTTTTTGCTTAAAAATCAAGGGTACCACAACCTGAACCACAAGAAAAATAAACTATTTCGTTTTTTCCCTTTTCAATTTAACAAGGACTATAATCATACCCCAAATTAATCAAGAAACCTAAAACCTAAAACCAAAAACCTTGCGTCTCACCTTAGAAATCCGGACCCGTGCATGATATGAACGTGACCCTGGTGGGCGGAGGGCGGGCGCGCGGGCGGGGGCACCAACAGAAGTCCATCTCCGCCCACGTGCAGTTGCGTGAACGTCGGCAGCGTCCCGGCAGAGCAGGAGTGGGAAATCTTCCTCGGGGGCGCTGGCGGAGACATCCTAAAAGAGGGAAAAAAAAGATAAGGAAAAAAGGATTCGATAAGATATTTTGGAAAAAAAATGGTGATGATAATAAACATGATTGTGAATTTCTCCTTTAAAAGAAATACATAGATACGTTTTTTATATCTATTTTTGAGTCTTCTTTTATCATCCTTAACTCTAACATCACATTATTTTGGTTTATTTTACTACTCTTCTTTCCTCTCTATTCATCCCATCCAAGGAGGATACTTAAGAAAATTTTCTTTCCAGGTGACTCTGACTCACGCGAAACGCAGAGTCTTGCCAAGAACGCTTAGACCCTCCTTGGCTGAACCAGGTGACTCTGAATAGCTTCGGCTTCGTCGCGTCTATTCATGCGTTAAAAAAATCTGAATATGCTTAGGGTGAGGGGAGGAAGGTATATACTGTACATGCACGTTTTACATACACACAATAACACACACACACACACACACACACACACACACACACACACACACACACACACACACACACACACACACACACACACACACACACACACACACACACACACACACACATACATAAATACACAAACACATATATGTGTGTGTGTGCGCAAGACATTTAACGTTGATCCTTCTTTGTTATACCATTATCAGTGACTGTCTCTTCTACATTACGTCATTACCTGTTCAGTTAATGTACATCATTTCGATTTTATTATCCTAATTTATAAGACTATTTCTGGTTGCTTCAGTTCCATCATATCATTTCACTTCATCCAGTGTATCTTTACAGCTGAGCAAGTGTCCACAAGTGTTAAACGTCCTGTTATATACAAGCCCGCTGTTTTTGCGCCGCCATTATACCAACCTGTTCTGGTTCCTGTAATACACGCGCTTAGAAATAACTGAAAGATCAGGTTAATGTGATATATCTTCACACACACACACACACACACATACACACATATATATAATTTATATATATATATATATATATATATATGTGTGTATATTGTATATATGCACATGTGTGTGTGTGTGTGTGTGTGTGTGTGTGTGTGTGTGTGTGTGTGTGTGTGTGTGTGTGTGTGTGTGTGTGTGTGTGTGTGTGTACACAAACGAAAGTAATTCATTTTCCCTGATCAAAAAAGGTTTTTATAAATAATTCCCCGGTTCATTCTTTGCACGACAAATTGCCTGGAGAAAGAGGTGGGGGAGGGCGAGAGTGAAGAGAACAGACAACAGGAAAAGGAGGGGAAGAGGAAAAACAAAAGAAAAAAAAAAAAGAGAGAAGAGGGAAGAGAGAAAAAAACGTTGAAACGCGGCGGTAAAGAGGAGGATAAATACGAGGAAGAGAAGTGCGAATCCAGAGAGTCCAGGAGGTCGCGGTGGTCGGTGGGGGGGGGGGGGATACGAAGATTGATAGTTCCCCCCGGTCGCCGATTTTCACCCAGGTTAATCAAATACCTCGTCACTTACGCGCATGCAACCTGGAGTCCGTCTTTTAACAGGCTCGGGGTCTCCAGCCTTCTCCCGGGGATGATAAACGGGCTTCTAAAGCATCTATGAGAGCCTGTTCTTTCCCCTCCCGCTCTCCCCCACCAGTTCCACACGCCCTCCTCTCGTTCTTCTCCAGCAATTCCCCACGTTCTTCCTCTCCCCCCTCCACCAATACCCCTCGTTCTTCTCTCGTTCTTCTCTAGCATTTCCCCACGTTCTTCCCCTCCCGCTCCCCCCCCCCATCAATGCCCTACGTTCTCCTCTCGTTCTTCTCTAGCAGTTCTCCACGTTCTTCCCCCCTCCTCTCCCATTCTCCCCCACCAATTCAACACGTTCTTCCCCCCACCCCCCGTCCTCCCTCACATGTCCTTCTCCCCCTCTCCCCCAATTCCTCAGCGCCCACTAAGCGTGGTTCACTTAATTCATTTGTTTAACGTTCTCCCGGGGACGATAAACGGCCTCTGAAGCACCTCTGAAAGCCTGTTCTCCCCCTCCTGTTCTCCCCCACCAATGCCCCACCACCCACTACGCCCATCACTTGCTTCGTTCATGTCGTTCGCCTGTTTAACGTTCCCCCAGGGATGATGAACAGTCTCTGAAACAACACTGAAAGCTTGTTCTGCCCTGCCATTTTCCAGAAATTCCACATGTTTTATTTTTCTCCTCCCATCCCCCCCCCCTACCAATTCCCCACGTCCCCCCCCCCCGTTCTCCCCCGCCAGTTCCCCGCGATCTCTCCCTCCCGTTCTCCCCCCCCCCACCTCCTCACCACTCCTCCCACCGCCCACCACAAGCTTGGTTCCCGTCTATTGCTTGTTTAATAGTTGAGTGGTTGACCGTACTGCCTTACCCAACCGCGGCGACACATAAAGCCCCCCTGTATATATTGCGACATGGGACTTCGGGAGGGAAAGTGTAGCGGATCAAATCGCTCTTGCCTCATGACGTGGACGCGGCGTTTGTGCAGTAGGCCGGGGGGATGATTGGCCCCCCTTGGACAGTGCCTTTGTGATGGATGCTCGGTC